TCCCCCCCCCCCCCCCCTTTATGTCGGGGGCATACAAAGCACCATAATTATAGCATTTATGTGTCAATATAAAAATTAAACGTCCCTGCAACCATCTCTTTTCCATGTTATCATCTTTTTTATAGGAAGCAAATGTGCTGCTTTAACCCTAAGAAAGAACCAAAGCTTTATCTTTGGTATAACATGTTTCAGAAGACAGATATTTTCAAAAAGAAAATAAACAAGAAAAACGCCATAACAGCAACCATAAGCCCTTTATGACCATTTTTTTTCAAAGGCAACATTGATTATCATCTTTTTAGTATTTCTACTTTATCTTGACAAAACCACCTTCCGTTACGAACAGTTTCACATACACACTTCTAAATTCACGATATTTAGAGTTCCCACTTAACCGACAACAGCATCGTTTCTAGCTTGAATGTTCTCATTTGTTACAACAAATGAACTGGAAAGGGTAGGAAGTGTTCTTACACTGTAGGGTAAGATATCCGATTTCACAAAACCTTAACAATGAGTTTGAAATCGATGTCTGATTTTCTCCAAATCCAAAGGTCTTTAATATTTCACTGTTACTTACTAGCTTCGAAAAAACCCGATTCTGTACAGAAATCATACGATTCTTTATCTCATAAATATATACAACTAAAAAGTGTTTTTGATCGTTTGAGGAATAGATTGTAATGATTCATGGATTTACACTATGGGGATTATGGGATCTGATCTAATAAAAGTCACGTTTGTCTATAGAAACCTAATTTCCTAACGAACGAGGTTAGTCCTATATGTGTTTATACAAATATGTCCCAAATCAACGGAATTTAGCTATAATACAGAGTAAAATGCACGGAAAAATAAATGGCTGACTAATAGAAATCCGTTATATACAGAAACAGAAGCATCCGGACTAACGGAGTTCTCATGTATACATAAAACCGAAACATTCGAACTAACAAGCTTATCCTACATACAGAAATTAAAATGACTAAACTAAAGCGGTTTTCCTGTACACAGAGACTGAATGATTTCTCCCATGCACTGAAAACAATGTGTCCGGAATAACGAGGTTTCACTGTATACAGAAATCATTCTAAACGCTAAGACTACATATAACAACGTTCTGATACTCAAATAAAATTGTTTGAGTAAGTCGTTTCCATTTTGTACCGGATTAAATTAACTGTATACAGTTTCTAAACAGTATTCAACATTTCCGGACTGTGGAATTTTCACTGTAAATAGAAACCAAATACAGTAATCCAGTCTAACGAGGATCCGGAGTATATGGAATTTCAACTGTGAAACGAAACCAAAAAGTTCAGTCTAACGAGGATTAGGTATATGATTGTATATATATGTAGATAAAATACCTTCGTAGTTAATTTGTCCGTCCCCGTCTATGTCAGCTTCTTGTATCATCTCGTCCACCTCCTCATCTGACAATTTCTCGCCGAGATTTGTCATCACGCGACGTAATTCTTCAGAACTGATTTGTCCGTTTCCGTCCTTGTCGAATACTTTGAAAGCTTCTTTTATATCTTCTGTAGAATCCGTGTCCTTTATCTTTTTAGCCATCATCACAAGGAATTCATTAAAATCTATAATTCCGTTACCTGGAATACAAAGTTCGTTAAGTTGCATCAGTAAATGAATTATGTAATATCAAAGTTTAACTTTATACCCACAGTTTTACTTGATACACACAAACAGTGTACGTTCATTTTTTTAAAATTAAACGTGTCGCAATAATTCATGACCGACTGATCCCTTTTTCAAGCTAAGGATAGCTTGGCAAATGGACAAGTCTGTCTTGAAACGTTGCGACACGTTTAATACGTACATTGTTTGGGTATTAAGTAAAAAATTGATATTTATCAATTTGTGTTTTTTATTGATTAACTATAAACATCTGAGTTGTTAGTTATTTCTAACTGGACTCTGATCATCGAACGAAACGAACCTTATTGGGATTGAATGTGATAATAATAAAAAACAAATAATATAATAAAATGTGTTTATTTAGATGTGTTTTTCTTTGCTTTCTACGAAATTGTCTCTATCTGTAATAAGGCACTAATGCCGCCATCTTCATTAGTTCACCAATGTTACGACAAGTCAATCCAGTGCTCCAAATGAATGCTACGAAATGACTACCTAAATATGAGTGACATGCATGCACTATGTATCTCTTTGCCAGACGTGCAGATACGAACCGGTATCCAAACCATTGCGTTTATGGCTTTGTGAAACCACAAATTAATTTGATATAACGTGTTTTCCGTAACATTTAGTATTGCTTATAAAGAGCTAGACATATTATGAACACGGCGGTACTTTTTATTTATAAAGTGTATAGCTGATCTAGATCTCTATCCCTACAAAAGGTAATAACATGGCATTTAATCTTCAGTGAATCTGTAAATCTAGTTCACTTAGTCAGCGTTTCCTTAGTTTCCTCTGGCCCTGACACCAAACTTAGACATTTTGACACCAGATAACTAGGCTTATCTGCCAAACTGTCCAAGTCTGGTGTCAGGGCCGGAGGAAACTCGGGCTATCTAAATCAAAACATGCTAATAAATGTAACTGGATTTCTCTTCTTCTATTGTTCCTGTCGTGTCACATGGCCACATCAAACTAAATTTGAAAATACTATTCAATACAGTTTAAGTAACATTAAGCACACATATATATCTACGTCTTAAGAAAGGAAAGAAAAAGTCAATTACATACAGCTTTATATATTGAAATTAACACACATACCAAAGTTTTATACTTTATTTTTGGGCTAATCAAATACTGATTCGATTTAAATTGCAAACTGTGCAATAATGTACACGTATCTGATAGGAATTGAAGAGTGTCGAAGTAGTCTCCCTTTCTATACGAATTTCATCCAGACTATGAGAACCAATGCATCGTTAGGAACTAATAATTATGTAAAAGTGTACGACATTTTAATTGAGATAGCAAATTAATTCATGTTTGATGATCTTAAGAATTGTCGTCACGAGCTGAGTTGCGATAGCTCTTCTGTCACCAAATCCCATTCAAACTAAACAACTTTCTCTACAGTTTCTTGCATGTCTTCTGCAAACAAGCTGAATATATATTTTTTCTTATATAACGGTCGTTACACTCTGAATGTTGGTAAAAAATATACATAGGAAATGCAGTTATTTTTATCACCGCAAAAAACCCCAAAATGTATAAACTGTTTTACGTCTTCTTACTTCCGATTAATGTGAGAGAAAATGTCTCTAAAATGTTTGGAGGGAACGGTTTCGAATGATCAAGCTCTCCCAGGGTTCCTTGCGCTACCTTCATTCACGTTCGCAAACCATTCATTATTCTCGTTCAACAAGACTATTGTTGTCTGCGCAAGCTACGCCGAACAAGTGATCAAGCGTCTGGTTGAACAAGACTAACCATTCATTTGACCTCGAGGTCATAGTAATTTCTACCGTGACAAAATGCTCATGTCAGATCATGAAAATTTGAGAATGATCTTTAAGGGCTCTCACCAAAAAGACATTAAATCAATCGGTTCAATATTTTGTCTAGTTTACTGCATTGTTCTTTTTTTCTCTCTTTTTATTGCCTATGCATTCAGAGTGATATTAGACATTTTAGGTTTTTAGATCAGCTTTCGGCAAAAAACGTCATCCCCAATGATGGTATATGGTGTTGATCTACACCCCAAAACGCCTATACATGTACCATATCTCTGACATATGTGTTTACTGAAACAAATTTTCGGGTCCCGTTATATCAAAAGCACATACTATACGAAGGTATAAGGAAGAGATTTTGGTTAAATTGTATTTTTTTAATTTTTTTTTGGCGAATATTTCGTTTCGCGATTCTCCTACAAACACAGTATGTTTTTTTTAAATTATTTATGAGTTCACCTGCCCGAAAGGGAAGTGAGCTTATGCCGGGGCGGGCGTCTGTCGTCCGTCCGTCCCGCGTCCGTCGTCAATATTTTACTTTAAACAACTTCTTCTCAATAACTAAAAGGCCCAGGGTGATGATAATTTGCCCAGAAGCAAACTGGGATGAAGGCCTACCAAGTTTGTTCAAATGAATAATCTTGACACACTTTCAAGGTCACAGAGGTCAAATGTGTTAAAATCTTTAAACGGCTTCTTCTCAGTAACCAAAAGTCCCAGTGTACTGATATTGGGCCTGTAGCATGCATGGATGAAGGGATACTAAGTTTGTTCAAATGAATGAACTTGACCCACTTTCAAGGTCACAGGGGTCATATGTCTTAAAATCTTTAAACGGCTTCTTCTCAGTAACCCAAAGTCCCACTGTACTGATAATGGGCCTGTAGCATGCATGGATGAAGGGATACTAAGTTTGTTCAAATGAATGGACTTGACCCACTTTCAACGTCCCAGCGGTCATATGTCTTAAAATCTTTAGACGCCTTCTTCTCAGTAACCAAAAGGCCCAGGGTACTGATATTGGGCTTGTAGTATGCATAGATAAAGGGATCCCAAGTTTGTTCAAATGAATGACCTTAATCTATTTTCAAGGCACAAGGGTCAAATATGTTTAAAACCTTTAAAACAACTTCTTCCCAATAACCAAACGGCTTTGGATGATGATATTTGGCCTGTAAGATGCTGGGATGAAGTGCTACCAAGTTTGTTCAAACAAATAACCGTCATCTATTTTCAAGGTTACAGGGGTCAAATGTGTATAACACCTTTAAAACAACTTCTTCTGAATACCCAAGAGGCAAAGGATAATGATATTTGGCTAATAACATGCTTGGATGAAGGGCTACCAAGTTTGTTCAAATGAATGACCTTAATCTATTTTCAAGGCACAGGGGTCAAATATGTTTAAAACCTTAAAACAAATTCTTCTCAATAACCAAAAGGCCTTGGATGATGATATTTGGCCAGTTACATGCTGGGATGAAGGACTACCAAGTTTGTTAAAAAAAATGACCTTCACCCATTTTCAAAGTGACAGGGGTCAAATGTGTTTAAAACCTTTAAACGACTTCTTCTGAATTACCAAAAGGCCTAGGGTTATGATATTTTGCCAGTTAGATGATGGAATGAAGGGCTACCAAATTTGTTGAAATGAATGACCTTCGCTCATATTCAAGGTCACAGAGATCAAATATTTTTAAATTTTTAGATGACTTGTTCTGAATATTCAAAAGGTCCAAGGTAATGATATTTGGCCAGAAGCTTGATAAGTCGGAAAGCTATAAACACTGTTCAACTTAATGTCCTCGTTCGACTTTCAAGGTCACAGGCGTCATATGTGTAATTCATGTAATAGATTCTAATGAATCGAACACAGATATTTTGCCTGTAGCTGTATATTAGTCCACTTTTAAGATAACAAGTGTGAGATTAATACCAGGTGAGCGATTCAGGCCCGTTGGGCCTCTTGTTAATTATATTGTAGTAATAGTGGTGCAGCCGAATAACATTTAAATATTTTAGTCGAGATAAGAAATATAAATATGTTAAAAAAATACTTGTGATCTGCACTCTTTCCGATCTGTATCAAGCGATGGTAAATACATATCATGTACATTAAAGATCAGCTCCAGATAAAGCCAATACTGATTCGCCACTAGTTGAATGTCTTGTTTCTCCTATATAAATGTACGTACCATCTATGTCCGCCTCATTAACCATGTCTTGGATAGTTTGTTCGTTTGGGGACTGTCCCAAGGACCTCATCACTGTCCCCAGTTCTTCCGTTGTTATGGTACCATCGCCATCTTTGTCGAACAAGCTGAAAGCCTCCTTGAATTCTGTAAGCAAAACAGTCCGTGATATATATAACGTTGTTCTAGAAACGTTTTAATGAATGGTCCCGACTTACTAGTAACGAATAATAAAACTGAAATTTAAAAATAAATCAGTTTTCCGGTTGATCGTAGCCAAGTTTACCCGGATTCAAAAGCCCCATGCGTCTGCTGCAAAGACATTAATGTGATTTAATAATTGAAAACGTAGGCATTTGTGCACAATCAATAACTTTATCAATAATATAGAACTGACGTCCGAGTAGTATATGAGTAATTTCACCATTTTACCAGATTAATGTATTTTGATATGTAGAAGAAAAGTTCATGTACATATCAGACTACCAAAGTATAATATCTGAGGTAGAGAGTCCTATCACTTTTCTACTGTAGATAGGACAGGAACAAATAATTCTCTGTTCATTTACTGTTACTTTCCTTCATATTCGTACAAACACAATTATAAGTTGACGGCCTATTAAGGGAGTTTTTTTAATTTATTCTCAATAATATTTCAGAAAAATATTAACATTGCAAATACCATGACCAGTAGTGCAATAGAAAAGATACCTGCTGTATAATCAAGAGGGCCGATGAGCGAATCCGCTTCGCAGGGAAGTTTTTGGTGAAAAGCGAAATTAAAAAAAAATTCTCGTACTCTTTGGTAGAGTGAATATGCAAGCGACTCCAAGTCAGAAAAAAACCGAATTTCACTTGAGCTCTTTTTCGATGGAGATACATATGTACAACACCGAATGATGTGACTATCTACCTTAATTCGTGAAGTGCAATGTGTATTAAGTTACACCTTCATCAAATGAGAGACCAGTCTTGAGCGTTAGTATAGATAGATAAGACTAGTACGAGATGACGTAACGAATAAATACAGATGTTAAAGCCAATTCATGACGTCGTCTCGTACGTTATAAAGTGGTTTGGCGTAGGAATTCGTAAGAAAGCAAGAAAAATGGACATTAAAATATATTGGCGGTCAACGAGGTGACAAATGAAACATAGGGCATTATATAGAGGTTTTATTGTATAAAGTGCTATTGAGAGTGTGAACACTTGTTTATACTTGTAAATATTGCAAATCATGAAGGAAAAAAATGCACGTTGGAAATATCTGCATCATAAAAAGAAAAGCTCTCTGCCTGATTTAAAATAAAACAACGACAAGGAGGACCATGCTTTACTGTATAAAACAATAAACATACCTGTTATCTGTTCATCTGATAGCTTTTCAGTCTGAAAGAAAAACATAAATTAATGAAATAAATAAATGAAATAGATAAATTCTGTTAATTGAAAATCTATAGAGTCATATTTACTCGTACAGCCTTTTTTTTAAATTATTTGTTGAGTAAATAACTACATGTAGTAAAAAGAAAAAGGAATGGGAAACAGTAATTTACTTTAAAAAAGAAACACACCTACAATGTATGTAAAGTGTAGTTGTAAACCAGACGAACCCAGGGAGATAACTCTAGGAAGCCTAGTGCAGGGTCCGCACTTAAATCTTGTGGACAACTGATTGGTTAAGAAGAACCAATATTATCTAGAAATTAATTTATTGAAAATGGATTTTGGTGGAAAAATTGATTTAAATTACAGCCGAGGGACTTCCACAGTTTTTATGCGATTTGCAATCTTTTCGTTTAATATATATAATTTTACGCATGTTTTTAACTTTTATTCACTGCACATAGCTTACTCAAGTTATAAAACAGGGCTGCTTATAAAAGAAACCTACAGACTGTGAGTTCGTCCAGTTACCCGAGGATAATGATAGATTGTCGAGAGTGAATGTCCCAACGAGATGTGAACACTAATGGCTCTATCAGCCGCCTAGAGTTTTTAAAAGCGATTATTATCGTTTCCGTATATCTACATTTTTTCAATTAGGGATGGGATGGTATTTTTGAATATCCTGTCGATTTGCACTTTCATGGACAGATACGTTTGCTTGCCACAGTATTTATATTCTCTGAAAATACTCATTAGTCACCGAATTATATACATTATGTGATACATGTAATTACTGTTTTGTTTTTGTCTAAAACCAGCAAAATTACTTTCACGAAACAATGCTCCATTTGAGTAAAAGCTAAACTCTCCCAGAATGCATTGTGGCCCCTACATGTTACCTTTGTTAACACAACACGCTGTTTCGTGATTTGCAACACATAGTGTGATGGTTTAAAAGTCAAAAAGGCGCAAAGTAAATTGTGTCGAACAATGCCGGGAGTAAAGCTTTCAACCCAGGACGCGTTAGTCTAGAAAACTCTGGAAAACAAGATCATTCAAAGTATCCCTCTCTACACTAAAATATCAGTCACTAACAAATGTCTTAGGTGCACACATACTTTTTCAAAGATAAATTTTAATTGCCATTTTAAATTACGTAACGACTGCAAATATCTGCACATTTATCTAAAGGATTATTTCCATCTAGGCGTGTGATACCGGATACAAAGCGCTGGTGTGATTTATGTTGAAATCACGTGTTATGTTAACTTTGAATTTGTATTACATTACAAGTGTAAACAGATTTTTAAATCTGACATCAAAATGACATTATATGTAAACAACATAATGAGAACAGCTTACGTCAGTAACCTTAATCTTCAATTTAATCATTGTATTTATTAAATGCTAGATATATGTATCTGTACGATTAATTTATCTTTGGTTCGTATGCTCAACGTTTGGTTTGATCACGTAACGCAAACTTCATTCTTCAAAACAGGATTTTATTAAAATATATTTGATAAAAAAATTGAGTGTTTCTTGTTTTCAAATGACTATTTCATTATTTTGATTTAGAAGTTCAAGCCGAATTTCAGTATTTTAGAATATGTTTGACATGAACAATGTTTTCATTGTTGAGACTAGGTAGTGCAACACTTTCTCTGGCAACAAGCCAACTACATGCAGAGGATCATGAGGCCGATTACAACCTGGTAGACAAAAATGTTTCAAAATGCAGAGAAAAATGTCGTTAAATTTACTGTATAACATGTTATTTACGCGGGCTGAACTTTTCGCGTTTTTGACCCAAAATAAAAAAATCATATTTTCACGGGTTATAATTTCGCGAAAATGACATAAGAAAAAAATAATTTTGCAGTGTTGAATCACAGAGGCACTCAGAATATGAAGTGCCAAATTAGTCAAATGAATTCGCTCAATTGCAACATACTGAGCAACAATAAGTAAGAGTATTCTGTTAAGCAAATCTGCAATCTATTTTCAAACATCTTGTATTGCTCTTATTGTTAATGAATCGTTACAACCGTATGGTCGTTGTTTCATGACTAAGTCCCGGTCATGAAGTTTATTATAGCGGCTCATCTTACTCTTGTCATAATATTTTGCGGATTTTATTTTTTCGCTATCACGTTATTGACCCGCGAAAACGCGGAAATATCCGGCTATACGGTTTTTAGAAATCTACAATCGGATTCACTAGGATCAATTTTAGTTCGCTGTTTATACAGCCAAAGAAGAATCCCTATTCTAGTAATATAGCAAAATACAGTAAGAACAATAAGTAACTGTTCAGGCCCACCAAGAGAAAAAATCTTATTGGCTGGAGAGGTGCAATGATTCTACTGAGCTGTTAAAACAGCAGTTACTTTTCGGAAAAAAATCACCAAAAAATCATAACAAATATTGATGATGCGATCTCTGTGGCCAAGAATTATGCCCTTGGCATTACGTATGACGTAAAATTCGAAGGTAAACCGTTGACACAGTTACTATCCACAACCTACGAAATGTAAGTCAAAACACGAAAAGATTATTGCTAACTCTCAATCCAAGCGATGTTATCTGGATTCGCTTCCTTCGTGTTGACTGAAGCAATGTCTTGAAACACTGCTTACATTCCTGACCTCGGTCACGAACAAGTCACTTGCCGAGTCACGAACAAGTCACTGGCCGAGTCACGAACAAGTCACTGGCCGAGTCAGGAACAAGTCACTGTCTCAGTCACGAACAAGTCACTGGCTGAGTCACTAACAAGTCACTGGCTGAGTCACTAACAAGTCTCTGGCTGAGTCAAAGGTTCTATTGTTTTACAAGGAAGCTAGTGTTAAACCACTATTGAAAAATATTGGACCAGTAAAACGCTTCTTTATGATATTTAAAAAAATATTGTTTCCGTGATCCTAGAGATGCATCCTAATGTAAGTAGTCTTCGTGAATCTTATTTGATTTTACTTATCCTGATGGAAAAAGTACAGCTGGCACAGAACAATGCATTGATGAACGAACGAACTTAAACCGGAAGTGTGTCGACCTATAGCTAGTAGGCAGAGCTAGAAATGCACAGTTTCGGATTTTTGTGACAATTTATAACGATAAAAGAGGAAAGCTATGCATTTCTTTTTTTAGTCGTGTATTAAATTTTATAACATTTCCTCAGATATATGTATGAATCGACGTTGCTTTATGTAAAAATACTGCAAACCAGCGACTGGTAGCACTTTAGTTTGAACTTATCGATATGCACGTATCAAATTTCTAGTTGTGACCGTAATTCTGATGTATGACTGTAATTTACTTTCATGTTCATTGTAAGGCCAGTTAAATTAGTTTAACCGGATAAACGAAAGCGAACCTAGCCTACAGCATTGAACATACTAACGAGACAATACTTTCACATATACACAATATACACAATATCTCTCTGCAGCCTTGGATGCTAAGTACAGGGCAGTTCTTATCATTTATCTGCTGTAGTTTGTCTCTTGAGTATGCCAAGTTACTGGCGATGTTCTGCGCTCGTCCCTGTCCTATTTGGCTACTGTAAAATCATATTTTTTTCTTGGGACATTAAATTTCATTTCTTTCGTGGATAACCCAAATACCACGAAATCAAATTCCCGCCAAAAACATAAATTTGGTATGATATAGATAGGGGAATATCAGAAATCAGTGAAATATAATGTCCTTTAAACAGGCTAGTATATGAAAACCGCGAAATTTTAACCCCACGAAAATAGATGATTCTACAGTATTTCATCCCTAAACAAGTAAAAGCATTGCAAGTGCATGTATGTCTGCAGTCACTGGTAACTTATTGCCTGGACGTATATGTATATTTCATCTTCGCCGCGGCAACCTGTGGACCGTAGAGAACCCGGAACGCCACAGCACGACTAATATATCTAACCCCTGTCTCAAAGCGCGAACACTTCACACCGGTGCTACAAAGCACTTCAATGACACTGGTCGTGAGAAGTTACAGGGAGTGTGTCACCATATATTGTAGATAATGCGCTGCGTTCCTAAATTGTACATCGAAGGGACAGATGTTACGTAGGAGTGGAGTAGCATATCATCTGTTACATGAATGAGCAGAGTAGTTAAATTACAACCCACCAGTTCATGTTACCGTTTTATATTTCGTTAAATATTAATGCTAGATGTGCTATGATAAACACATGTTCGTGCTACAGATGCTCGTTAGGCCAAACCAATTTGAATTTTAGTTCTTTGGCAACCCAAATTTTAAAACAGGAGCGAGCGAGCGATTTTTTGTTTGTTTTTTAAATACATTTTTCATTTGTCGACAAAACGCAGCCGAGCGAAATTTTTAAATATTTTACAAAACTTGTTTTCATTGTACACAGAAGCAGGCGAGCGATATATATTTTTGTTTACGTTTTATCTCGGATGGCTGTTTCTTTATGATGTTGTACACTGTAACACATGTGACTTTACTAAAAAATACTACTTGTATAGCAACACAACTAAATAATCTGTTATGAAATATAAACAATTCTGTTTCAAAAGTGAATGTCATTGTTGTCTTTTTACCAATACAGCAGTTCAAAAACATCAACAAGAATATTAAGATAGTATGAAATTTAACTGAAGAAAAAACAATAATCTCCACTTTTGGCACAGTACTGCACATACATTCCACTAATTGGTTTTCATTATTAAATACTTTGTTCATGTATAACAAAAAGCATATCAAAACAAAACAATTTATTTAGCATCAGAGCTTTCAAAACAAGTAATAATTTCTCTCTGGAATGACTAGAGTTAAAATAAAATAAAAACATAATATTCAATTCAAGTGAACATTATACAATTATTGACTTTTTCAGGTTAATACGGGGCTTTGTCAACCTGAGAAAGGTGATATTTCCCAAGGCCGCAAGCCGAGGGGAATATCTACTTTGTAATGACATGTTTTTTGTGTGTTGGTAAGTTTATCAAGGGACCGTACAAAAGAAAAGGAAATATATACACCTATTTGTAAATGTGCGACAATTGTTTTAATTTGAATACTGCAAAGTGCTTGAGATTAGAGCGATTTCTGAAATTATACAGTGCTATATATATCCGGTGTAAATTAATATTATAATAAAGCTGATATCTCCGCGGAAAACTTTTCTCTCTCAAAGAGTATTACGCCTTCATTTGAAATAATAGAAATGAACTGAAGATCCGTTTAATGTCACTTCAAAGTGACAATAGATTATCCCTTTGTCGGTCTGATCACAATGCAAGTAGTTGCCGTTATCTTGCAAACACTGTGTTTCGAATGCGTGAACTTAAGCAAATGCAAATCCGTTGTCTTTCCATCCGTTCTGAACGGTCAACAACTGAATTTATCAATGTTACGATCTCCACTGTGGTATAGTGAGGGTCATGTGTGGCATTTTTGAAGGGCACAGAGTGTATTATGTGACGTGGCGCGAGGCGCACGTGCTGTACCTGATATACAGGTGAGTTGTACAGGTGTAAAATGAGTGCCCAATATATAGCGCCAGCTGCAGTAAGCGGTATTCTGAACACAATGTGTTGAGATTTATTTGATAAATAACTTATGTTCGTTTGAAATGTTGAATTAGAGCATATTACTTTTTATGAAAAGCATTTTCATTAGAGGTATGGTAACTACAGTGTATTTTCCCGACGTCATAACTACGCACTGTTATAAATTTCAGACTGATATCCGAGCGAAAGGTTTGAACACTGTGAATTATCATTTTTTTTTTACTCTTTCGTTTTCCTCAGTTAAGACTTGGAACACAAAGTATTTAAGCGGGAAGTAACGTTACAACATTGTCCTCTTCATAGAATGAATTGAAAAATATTTTTCTATTAAACCTATAATCAAGTAATTAGCAATCAACCCAGCTAGCTAGAAAGTACACAAGCTAGCTAGGAAACAAATAACTAAAGACGAAGTGTATATTTACAGCATTCTCCTCAAACATAAAAAACATTGTGCTGTATCGTATTTGTGGAATTAAAAGTGAAACATACTTGAAACTTGAAATCCTAAACATGCAAACAGACAAACAGTAAAAAGTAAACACAGAAAGTCTTTGTTGTCTCTCTCCGTTAAACATTTATAATTATAACAGCGGACGGTAGCCATTGTCTAACCTTTCTAATAAACCGCATGTTTTGTAAAATTGGGACTGAAACACAATTTGTTTACTTTTACGTTTGGAAGTTTATGGTTTCGCCCACGAGTTATCAATATTTTATGTGTATATTAGTGTATGCATATAGTGATCGTAAGTATGTTAACGTTTGCCGGCGTCAACTTTATGAAAAATGAAGTATTTTTTATTTAAATAGCGTTCGTTTAGAGAATGCTACACACAGTTAAGTACACCACCACAAGACAACATAAGCACACATGCATGTTCTTAACTGTGTTTACAGTGTATTAAATATCGCCTGAATTTGTTAATTAATTGAAAAATAAGGAAAATAGTTTTGATATGAAGTTTACTTTAATGTGCCTATTAAAGCTGCCCATGCTTGACGAAACTAGGCTCTGACATTTTATTAACCTCTATATAACGTTTGGTGTCTCTAATAAAGGCCACTTTATATGTACCTCATACAGTAATTACAGTTTAAGTCAAATCCAATATTTGATTTAAGACTTTCATCAAAAGCGACCCGAAGTAGTCAAACCAATGCAGTTCAAGCAGGTCTCAGTTTTAACACTTTTGGTTTGATTTCGTTCAAGTATAGTATCAAGAAAAAACTGACATCAAAGTACACAGTTCATGAGACCTTTAAAATGTGTGAATACATAGGGCAGTCCATAGCGATTGACCGTAATCCATGTGAAAAAGTACAATGTGTTTGGTACGCCAATCCGATTTAACTGTCAATGCGACAACACAAATACCGAGCAGAGAAAACACTACGCTGTCACGGATAGATGAGCACAACGCGATCTACTTATGTTAAATCCAATAGCTCAGATCATTAAAAATAGAATTGAAGTTTTAAAGAATTACACAGAGAAAACAGTCTATCGTAGGAAAAAAGGGTCATATGCCTACGTATGCGATCGCGATACACGGTTTGACTTTTAATGGGTGAAATACGATGCCGTCGTTTTGATTTTGTAATGTTCACAATACATCGGGTGCATACTCTTTTGTACAAGGGCGTTAGATAAATATATTCGGCGCTGAACAGAAATGAATAAACCACGCAACATGACTCGTTAGAGGTTTCGTAGGTAAATGCTAGATCTATTTCAGATTCGACTTGATAAAACCTGGGACTTTATCAGCACTTCATAGGCTCGAAAACACTATTTTTTACCAATAAACATATTTAAACCTATGTATGGTATTTTCTATAAGGAGAAAAAGCATTATATAATTATGCATTTCAACAGCTTTTCTCAGTTTATTTGTCAGCTTTTAACATGATGACAGCTTAAAATGGTACCGTCACCACAAACTGTATATCGTTAGATGAAATAAACATACTAAGTGCAGCCATGTGATTAATGATAAAAGATAAGTCCACACTTACCAGTTCTCTCATCGCTTTGGCGTCCATGGCGATGCCAATTATTATCCGAGGACGGGTTTCGACTAGCAAGGCGCTCCAGATTCCCGATATACCCACATAGATTTGTCAACACGGTTGATTCAATGGATAATGACGGTGGCTTATATTATTGTGTGTTGTTTCCTGTCATTACCTTTAAATATACTCACTTATACACGTACCTGCTACCGAATACAGAGAAGTCACTTTTGGTAAGCAAATACGTTTTACTATTTATATATATAGGTATATTTATTTATGCACAGCGAGAAGAAAGGAAAAAAACCTTGGCTGAGACTTATCTTTGTTAAATTAAATTCAACATGTATATGCGTATATACCATTTCACAACAACACATGAGTAATTGTGTGCACTCAATAAGCGTAAAATACGAGCTGCAGCTAATACGCTTTTATATTTACATTTGCATGGCATTGTCACTATATAGCCTCTTTGAAAGCTGTGTCGTTGATGGGACTTTAATTACCATGCATCACGAGACACAATTCTAAGCGTATTAATACAACACGACCGGAACTACAATATCTAATATAAATAAACATGACGGCTGCTGAAATATCGCTGGGCATTGTGAGATTTGACAATGTCATTGTAAATTTATGTGCAAAATAAAAAATAAAATAAAAAACACTTTTATTACAACGAAAACAAGACCAAGGTCTGCAATATCGTACAAAATGCACATCGGTTGAAATCACCAATGCCGGCAATGGAAACAATTTTAACGCTCATGGAATTTATCAGAAATATCGTCTGTTACACGGCACTGATCAACAGGGGTTCGTTACAAATGTCTGAAATACGCATATTCTATAGACCTACTGACACATATGTTACAGACCTAATGATATGAGTCACAGCACACATAAACATTTCAGACATTTGTAACGAACCTGTGCTCCGTCGCAAGATCACTCACTTTAAACGTTATCAGTTTCACGCGTCTCGCATCCACGGTTCCTCAGTTTCTGTCGACATGTCAAATAACGAGGATGTTATAGAATCTACCGCCTGTTGTCAGGTTCCTATACAATCAACACATACATTCACGCCTGGATTCTTCACAAAATTAGCAAAGAGAAAAGTTCGAATTAACCTCCAAAAATAACTCCCTCGTGGAGGGCAAGGTCGGTTTTGCGGTGTTCACTGTATTTGTCAATGCGCGAAATTTGTTCCGGGGGAAAATCGAAACAATTTCTATTGATCACCCTCTAGACATATCATACGCAATTGTATTTATAATGAATTGTGTAATAGCATTGAAGTGTTTGTTACTTTGTTTGCCAATCAGCACGCGACAAACACGCTGTTCAAACTATTGAACGAAATTTTGTGGACTGTCGATAAGGCGGGCATTTTGAATTTTAGATATAAATTATAAGTTAAAAAAGAACATAAGAGGCAGAGAAAACGTAAATATAAGAATTGAACTGTTTTTGTATGGTATTTATGATCTGTTTGAATGACACAGCTTTGCAAGCAAACAAATCATAATGCGCTAGCGCGCATTATGTTGTTTGCTTGCAAAGCTGTGTTATTCAAATAGATCATAAATACCAAACAAAAACAGTTCAATGCTTAATTATATGAAATGCTGATAACATGTGTTATTAGTTACCTTACAGGTTCGCTTAAGAATGTGCAATCTGTTACTTGATCAAGTATATATAGATGTTCATTACCTAGCATGTCAAATACTCATTTCTATTTATATATACCATCAGTTGTAAGTTCTAAAGGGATGAAATGACCACATGATTTACAAATGTAATACATATTTACTTTATTTGGCTATCCGCATATAGATTCTCCTTATTTCGTATTTTTAGTGAGTATTTCATTGCCAGTTTCTTAATTCGAACGACAAAATGCAAGAACATTTTAAAATGTTGCATACTCTTTTGGCTGTGGATAAATGATTTGTAAAAAAAAAATGTTCTTTATGGTAAAACATGTAAAAAGGAGATGTCTAAATGTCATAAACAAATAACTAGTTGAAGGTTCTCCGCAAAAATAAGCGTATCATGCACCACGTGGAACAAGCGTCAAGGGTATGACGTATTTAATATGTCATTAAACTGATAAAAAGTAATTCAAGTTACGAAATATGAGGGATGAAAAATAAAAATCACATTAACAAACATGATAAGGGAACAAGTACATATATTATTCTTATTTTTCTAACAATCTTGTGGCCTTATAGATAACTGAAACGTATAGTACCACAGGTACATGTAAACAAATGAAGAAAAGAAAAATATGTTGTAAGGGACGTGTTTCGAAAGATAAATTGATATTCCATGAAATGGTAAGTATTTTTTTCAATTTGATAGCATTTGTTAGGTTTTCACAATTTCGTTTTATCAATATATTGATACTTATATTGCCTTACCAAAACGTTTAAACTGTACAATTCAGTTTCGAACTCTCTCGGATATTTCTATATTTTGAGCTGTTGAGAGGTTAGAGTCTCCATAAAGCAATACGTAAGTAGAGAGTTGGTAAGAAAGGCGACCAAGGCATTTACGTCCGGGAGTTTCATACTTGTGACAATGTTTTAGGAAATGTTCGTTTATTTCGAAGGCAGCAAGGCAAGAACAGATAGGACTCTCGACAATATTTATGCAACTTTTTTTCCGGTAATTAAACAAAAAGTTTAAATTTCCTGTCTTTTAGTCTTGTTCTTGATATGACATGAATGTACGTGTAAATTTGTTTAGATATGTTGACAGAGAAAAAAATACGGTGACGCCGATGTAATGCGATGGTTATATGAGAATCGTATATACATATTGAATTTTTATCCGGTGATTTTCACACATCATTAACCAGGCTTACGAATGTAGGTTCTCGCACGTCAATCTAGACAGGTACAGTGTACATGTTTAGGTAATTTGTATTCAATGACTGTAGTTTGCCTCTAATCACCTCGGCATAACGCGCCTGAAGTTGTTAACTGGACATGTTAAATACTGGGAACTGCTTTGATATTCGTGGGAGATACTAGAATTATTTACGTTGATTGCTTAATCCCTTTTATCCACGAATATTTGTGTTGCATGAAATGAACTTATTATAGAGGCAAGCTACATTGTAAACGGTGAAATAAGTCCTATAAGAACATTTCTGGAAAAAAATAAATCAAAAACATATTTTTTTTTATACGAATGCATGTCCCTAGAAGATTGTGATATATTGAAAAGCTACTTTATTTCCTCCCAACGAGCATAACTGATTTAACAGTAAGAAGAATCATTTTACCGGATTTGTTATTTTTTTGAAGATTGCTTTTTTTAGAATTCAGTTGCAATGTTTGTTTTGTATACCACATTTGTGTATATCGTGTGATTGAATTTATTGAAACTATATCTTACAAACTTGTTATTTTCCATGAATAGATGTCCAGTTTGTCTGATAGACCAAAACTATCTAATCACACACAATTGGGCTGGTTACAAAACGCAGGTAATCGAGTCTGATCGGTAATTTTGATTTTGTATATATTATATACACAGGTAATACAACTTAATACTATTATGCTTTCAAAAGAACACACATTGTCCTTTAAACCATGTTGAAAATAGCTCAATTACCCATTCCTGTCTTCTTTTCAAATTATAATTTTGAACTAAAATTACCATTGAAATGCCAACTGTCCGATGTAATTACCGTTGTAATTATGCACTAATGATGACAAAAATAAGCCCTGCACAATTTTAAAAAACCCTGTAGATATCCATATCCAACATAACACACTGTTTATATGTCTGTGTAAATTTAACTTGAGTAACAATAAAGAAAAATCAGTTTTTGCATTTGATTTTTAGATTAATCTTTCACTTGTTTGTGTGTCACCATGCTTCCTGTTAATGTGGTGCTGTATGTCGGGTCGACTTTGTCACAACGCCAATACACGAATTAACAATAAATATCACGGGCTCAAAAACACAAATTGACATAATATACAGCACAGGGTTAACACACGAGTACAAAATATACCACAACGTCAATACACAGGGAAAGGGCTGCGAAATTAAGTGATTAGAGATATAGAAAAGTTTAAATGGGAAAAGTAGAAAAGGAAAATACATTTAAAACGACAATGCTAAAAGATCAAAATAATGAAGTCAATACCATAGTGCAGAGCCAAGATGCAAGGAGTGACAAAATGGATGTAGTTTCCTTGTTTGTCAAGTTCATGAGTGGATGAGTGGAGTTTGTCTTAAGATTAATCAGAGACGTATAATGTATTATACGTCTCTGGACAAATTAAATGAGGTGACTCTGTAGCAGTGGCGGACCCAGAGGTGTTGCCCTAGTTGCCCGGGCAACGTCAAAAAATAATTTCCTAAATATTTCCTCCATTTCATATTGGTTTTAATTTCCTTCTAATATCAACCATCCCTTGAACTATAATTTTCTATGGCTTCCCCTTGCCAGCAATTTGAATATCTATATATGCCTAAGGGTGCAGTTGCCCAAACAAGGAGTCCACTACTTATACTCTAAACAATAGGGGGTTAATCCTCTATTGTCTATATATTAGTAGGGTCTCCAGTCAGGTCACAGTGGTCAAGGCTCACCGAACGACTCTACCAAATCTTATGAACAATAATGTCACGGTGTGATCACCCTGTCAGTTGGGAGAGGCCTATACCATTTTGGAATTAGGTATATAGGTAAAGTGTTATGTCGAAGGTAGAGTCCATTTCATGATAGATAAACCTATATTTTCACCTGTGGTTTCATGTACACATAATCACCAGGAGTGATTTTTAATACCAATTACAAAATATAAATTTCATAGACAATGAAGCACCCTCGAGCTCCTTAGCATCACTTTATCAGGTGAATAATAACTTATGTTAGCATAAAAGCCTGGCGTGTACATCCTTTTCATTAGGTGTTGCCCTTGTACATATGTATGCGTACAAATTCACAATAAAAGACAAACAGTTAAATCATAATTCATTTTTATGACAAAATAAATCAATATTTAATTGCCAAAATGCTCGCATAAACTACATGAAGGGCATGACACACGCATCAACATTTTAACCAAAAACCTTAATTTTTTACCATTTATTTTACAAAATTTGTTAGCACTCGCTCCGCACGGCCATCATAAAATACAAATACTCTACGTTATAAAATATAACCTGGAAACTCAGAAAACTATTCTACGCCTCACTCGAT